ACTTGCTTTCAGGCCTGGGACTCTAAACAGCCTGAATGGTGTTGTGGATGGAAGATCCTCACCGTGGGGGAAACAAGGCCCAAGTTCTACAAGTCCCTCTGCCAATAACTAACCCCTAATGCAACCCTGGGGATGACCTGCCCTTCTCTTAGCCTCAGTTTCCAAACCAATGAAATGAAAGCCATTGTCAGTGGTCTTCTGGCTCTGCCATCCTCAGATCCTCCAATGAATTTGAATGTGGTCCCTGGCCACTGAGAGGAATCATAACCGTATGAATACTTCCATCTTTACCTTACCTTACATTAAAGAACAACTTTACATTGTTCTTTAACCACTGCCTGAACTGAACCTCCAACAAACCTGTGAGATCAATTAGGGGCACAGAAAATAAGCTATTGAATTTATGTCTCTCAAAGGGATATGAAACATTTGGCTCACAAGCTTTTAAGACAGGGTCATAGGACATAAAACTATATTTAATAAGGACAATGTACTAAAAATATCCTTTGCTGAGACGGATTGATGAAATTAAAAGCGCACCAGTTTAGAGATCAGGAAGGCAGATGCCGGTCCCTGCTCAATACCAGCCTCAGTCACGTGGCCCTGGGCAGGCACCTTCTCAACCTACCATTGGTTTACCATCTGTGCAGTATCATCTCTAAGTTATGCTTGGCACTGCTGTTCTTAAAATTCAGCATAAATCTTCCTAAAGCTGTGTGGATGTTTCCTTAGTAAGTTTGGGTGATGCTTTGTTTGTTTTGTTTTCTATTGTTTGATTACCCTGATACTTCCAGTGCAGTCCACACTAAAGGCAGACAGTACACCGGGAAACCACATCCCCATCAGTCAGGTCAGATGCGTACATCTCAGTAAGGAGAGCAGGTGCTCACTTTTAGTAAAGGGTCAGGCCACTGCTGAGGGGGCCTTGCAGAGGGGACAGAGCCCCTATTGCTCTACCTGAAATCAGACAGCAGGCCTAACATCCCTCTCACCTCTCCTGGATGACTGCCAATTCCATCTTCCAAGCCAGAGATGGACCCCACAGAGAGTCTGAGGTCTAGATGACATCTCCTCAAATATTTATGGAACAAGTCATCATCTATTGTCGCATTTCCTAAAGCCCATGAGTGGAAAATAAGATCCACAGGTGTGTGTCTTTCTGAGGCTGAGCATGCCAGATTCTGAGGCTTCCAAGCGTTAGGTGAGGCTCCTAACAAGTGAGGATAGACAATGACTCGTGCACCCTGAACTCAGCAAGTGAAAAACCATTGTCAAAGGAGTTTTCAAAAGAGGGACACCTGACTGGAGAAAAAGTTGAAAGAAGGAGAGATGTAGAAGAGTAAATAAGGAATAACTAGAAGGAAAAAAAACAGGTACCATGGACCACTTAGATACCTAAAATGCGTCTCTGAAGAGAATAAAGGATTCAGTGTCCAAGTAAGTTTGGGCAAAACTACTTTACCTCCTCTCTTGAGATTTATAGTCTGTAACAGCTATTAAAATCCTCATAAATTTTTGTGGTTAAAAACAACACAAAATGATTTAAGGTTAACCTTGTTTTAGGCGAAGTTTTGATCACAGAATCCAGTTTTCTTGCAATGCTTATTAACATTCCTGGAATATAGTAAGAGAAATTGGACTGAAAGACTCCAGTGTGTTAGACTGGAGAAGTGCAAAGGGTCCCTGTTTCCAAGGAGTTTACAAAAGAGTGGGACAAGACACTTGGATGCTGAATTCAATGAGACAAAAAATAGCTGGTGATAATGGGAGGATCACTCATTTCCAGGTAAGTGGTACAGACAGAAAGGGTTGGGCATTGGTTGGCTTATCCAAGAGTTCATGAGGCACCTATAGTATACAGACACCATGTGGGGCCAAGATATGCCAGTAGGCCAGGCAGATCAACCTCATCTCTGAAAAAAATAAAGGAGGGTAATGTGGGACAGGAACCTGGTGTGGACACAGAGTTAAAAGTTGACCTAAGAAGGCTTCTTGGAGCATTTCATAGTGCTCATAGGTGAGCATTCACATCTCATAGTGAAATGAGATATGAATGACAAAAAGGAGAGGTCTATATGAAAAGTTGTCTGGGAAACATATCCCTGAGAGAAGAGCTCTGAGCTGGGCAAGGAGCCCGTGTTTGGGGAACCCACAGATTCCTAAGTGAAAGGGCAAGTATGACAAATGACAGGGAAGAAATTTAGAATTTAGCAACATATAGCTAAAATAGAGCCCTCAAGAATGGGAGTGCGACGAGTTTGGAAAAGTAGCTGTGCACATGTTGTAGAGGAACTGGAATGTCAGAATAAGAAGTTGAGAAAAATTGTCAACTTATTGTTCAATATCATGCACAAGACACTGTTCCCAAGTGCAGCCCATCCTTGCTGGGATTATGAGCCACCGAAATGATGGAAGAGGGCAAGGACCTCACACAATCTGGACTGTCAGTAATACTTCAATAAAGCTGATACAACAGAAATTTTCTCCTCTCCCTGTACGTATTCTTACTTCTTCTTCAGTAATAGGCCCACCAAATTTTAGGTTGAAATGGGACTGTGTTTCCCAGGATTCCCTGTAGGTGGGCTCTGCCGTGGGACTAAGATCTTACTGGTGAGGTGTAAGCAAAAGTAGTACAGATAACAATACTTAATGTGTTAACTGTCATTTTTCTCCTATGATTTTGTTATGAAGTTTTGTTTTACTTTTTTCCCATGAAATAAAATGTGGTAGTCAAATTCTGGTATCCAGGGAAATATCCTTTCTTCGCCTCCTCCTTACGACTGTCTAGACTGTGGGTGTAATGCTCAGAGTTCCATCCTGGATGGTGGGGACATGCACTACTTCTAGGTATGGTAGGAAGAGAGCTGGAGGAAGCCTGGATCCCACTATGGAGACTCCACAGAGTCCATAAACTGCTTTCATGGAGAGTTTTAGCCATTTTCCCTTTGTGTCTTTGTTAATCACAGCCAAAACTGGATGCTGACTACTACTGCCACTTGTGACAAGTTGTGACAATGAACAAGATCAGTTATTAAATGTGAGTGAAAATATATATTTTGTAAAAATAGCCTTGAGCCCATTCTATATATATATTTATTTTTCAAGGCAAATCTTCAAATATCAGTATTTTAAAGTATTTTTAAGTCACATTTTTAAGTATTTTAAAGTATTTTAAACCACAGTGTTATAGTTTGTGTTTGGATGTCCCCTCCAAAGCCTCGTGCAGTTAGGGGCTTTTTCGGAGGTGGTTGGATCTAGAGTGTGTGACTCTGTAATTGATTCATGGTGCAATGCTAGGATAAAGGGCACTAGGATTAAGGGTGTGAGTGCTACCCACCATAAGTAGCCTGGTTAAGATATAAGGGATAGAAAGAGCTGTGATCATCTCTTGCTGCTTTGCTACTTTCTGCCCACCATGAACTGTTTTTTCTCTGTGATGCCTGTCTGCCATGTGCCACCCTGCCTTGGACCCACCTGATTATGGACTGAAACCTCTACAAACTGTGAGCTAAATAAACCTTTCCTCCTTTAACTTGTAAGTGTTGGGTACTTTGTCACAGCAACAAGAAAAGTAACTAAGACTTGTATTTCACAACAGGACTTAACATCACTTGGGGCATGGTCCTAAGGTAAAAAATTCCACATGAAAGTCAGGTGGATGTGCAGCTGTTCTCCAGATTAACTGGTACTGAGATCCAATTATAAATCATGTGATTCTCATAAAAAATGGCCTTTGAATTAACGTTAATTTCTCATAAGGGTAAACATAATTTTCACCACTTGACCCAAATTCTACAACTAGGTGTTTACCCAAAGAAAATGAAAACTTTTATCCAAAGATTTGTGCATGAATCAAAAACTGGATAGAGCCCAGACAGATGTCCATCCACAGGAGAACAAATAAACAAATTGTGCCACATGTAATGGAATGCTTTCCAAAAATTATAATGATTAATCTACTGGAATACACAGACTGTGGGTGAATCTCAAAACCATTATGCCAGTAAAAGCAGCCAGGTGTCAAGAAGCATACTTAAGATGATCCCATAGAGAATATTCTAGAAGAATTCCACCAGCCTACAGTAACAGAGAGCAAATCAACCACTACCCATGGCTGCAGGTAGACATGGGAAATAACAGCAGAGGGACACAAAGGACCCTTCTACAATAATAATGTTATTCCATGTTTTAACTAGGGTAGCAATTTGGCAAGCACATACCTTTATCAAAACTCATCAAATTATACAATGAAAATAAATCTATTGCATGTATTGTGCATTTCAATAAATTGATTTTTTTAATTTTAGAAGAATTATCAAACTGAATAAGGAAAAACGATGTAGGGAAATAAGACAAATAGTGACTTAAAGTAGAAGTCCCAGTCTGAAGTCAGAAGCACAGATGTTCTGAATTGCAGTTATATTTTTTAAAATAAACTGCTTCTCAGATGAGCGTGCTGGGTAGCTATGCTCCAGAAAGAAACAGTAGAGACTGATTTCCCAAAAAGGCAACTCCAGAAGCTGTCAGGGTAGGAGGAAGCTAAGAGGAGAGGCCAAGCTGGATTGTGGATAAGACACCCTCACAGTGTTTCTCAATGGACTCTAAAGGAATGGGACCTTCTTGTTGCTGTTTGTTTATAAAATTGTTTTTTTAAATCACATCTCCTTGAGATAACAGAATGGAAAAATGGCTCTGAAAGTTCATTTTTTTTCTCAATGTATGTGCCAACCTCACGGCACACCACTGGAAAACATGGAGGAATTGGCATAGGTGTCTTAGAATCTACTGTCAGTGCTACTCCCCTGAGTCTCCCTGGGGGAAATCTCCCTGGGGCGCACTTCAAAAGAGACTGTGTAAGTACAGAAAGGTAAGAGCTACAGGCAACTGGGCCATGGATATGAATGTGGCCCTGTTTGTTCATGGCAAATGAAGTCTCACAAAATGTGCTCACAAAGGTTGTGAGGACATGGTCACCAAAACACTGCTTCAGAAAGAGTTACCTGGAAGCACACACAAGATGGTGAGGCTGCACAGCACCGAATCTTGAAGACTGATGAGCAGGTTGTTGACAACCAACCGGGTAGTAGAACCTGTGATTTGAATCAGGGTGAAAGCCATAAGAAAGGAGGGCGGAGGGCAGAGGACAAGGAAAAGCAGGATTAATAGTGGGCAGTGACTAAGGGTGAGGGGCTGGAGGTGGAGGCTGAGGGCTGAGCCTTATATGTGGGAAGAGGTGGGCATGCTGAGGAATGAGGGAATGAGGGTGTGTGGCCTTCTCTGCTCTGAGAAGCAGGAAATAGACTCTCAGGTGTGCGAGCGCTCCTTTGTTCCCTCAGCCAGGCAGGCTGCTGTGGGCTGACCCTGCCTGCCTGGCCTCCTGCCCAGCTATCTCTGACCCACTGCCACCCACAGTGTCACTCACAATGGGGGACAAAGGGAGACAGACAGAGGGGTGCCTTTGTACATGCCATTTCCCGTGCCTGGCATGCCAGCTTCCTTCCACCCAGACTGTACTGTAACTCCTCCTCATCTTCCAGGCCCAGCCCAGACGTCACCCCAGGCAGAAGGCATCAGATGCTCCTTTAAGTTTCAAGGCGCACATGTGTGTCACAGCATACGTCACAACACAGCACAGCTGCTCCTAAGTCTGCCTGCCCAACCACACACATGGCTGGATTACCACAGGCATTAGAGCCAACTTCTGTTTCACTACCCTTTAGCACAGTATCTGATGCAAGTCCCTGTGCCCAGAAGGCCACATAAGCAAATGAACAGAGAGCACACCCAAGGAAGGACAGAGACAGGCAGGGAGGTCAGTGACACAGGCTCAGTGGGTGTGCAAAGGTGAACGGAACCAGAGGTCATAGGTCTTTTGCTTTTCTCTGACCCGCGGTATGTCTATGTCGATCATTACTTGACACTTTGAACATCTTCAATCCTAAATACTTTAGAGGCTCTTCTGTATTGAAAAACAATTGGCAGCTCATAAGCATAGAAATTTTTCTCTGGATTTAGTCAGAATTGGCCAGAAAACAATTCTCTCACCCATTGAAACTGCATTAAGGTTAGAAATCACCCACAAACTAGGAAGTCAGCATCTTTGGTCTGAGAATAAGAATCAAAAGAGAAGCTGGGTAATCCTCTGGATTTGCTGGTACTGAAGTCACTGGCAACACTACAGAATAAGGGGAATTATCACAGAGTTGGAGATGGAAATCCAGGTCAATGTGGGGTGTTCCACTCCCAGGCCATGGGGTAGTGGCCCACAGTGGCCTGCGTCTGTGGTTTGGTTTGTGCTCTCCTATGGAGAATGATAATGTTTGAGTACCATGTTTGCCCAGAACCCTTCAGCAAGGATGATCACAATGATTTTCTTTCTTTATTTATTTATTTCTTCTTTCTTTTTCTTTCTTTCTTCCTTTCTTTCTTCCTTTCTTCCTTTATTTCTTCCTTTCTTCCTTCATTCCTTTCTTCCTTTCTTCCTTTCTTTTTTTCTAAGCATTTTTTCTAAGCATTTCACTGTGTAGTCCAGGCCTTAAACACACTATGGAACCCAGGCTAAGCTCAAACTCACAGTAATCCTCCTGACTCAGCCTTTCAAGTGCTAGGATTACAGGCATGCACCACCACACCCACAGTGATTTTCGTACACAGAGAAAAGGCTTCCACAGCATAGAGAAGGAAGGGACTGGGACCCAGAGAAGTTACTAAAAAGTCAAGATGGGGAATTTTCTATTGGAAGCAAGAATTCCTGGACAAGAGACTTTCAGTACTAAACCAGGAAACTGATTGTTGACTAGCCTACTTGGACCTTAGAACCAGCCCCCTTTTATAAAATATAGTCCCAGAGAGGGCAAATAACTGAGCCAAGTTCACACAGAAGCCGGTGGCAAGGCTGCAACTGGAGCCAAGGTCTTCAACTCACCCTGCAGGGAATGTCTTTTCTCTGGGTGACATTTTCTCTCAGCCTCCAAATGTTTACCTTCATTTCCATGACTACAGCTACTTCTCTGGTACGGTGCTGAACAGCGGATTTGCCCACAGCTAATTGTTAGACAAAGGGGACACCAGTGTCCCCACACTCCTATTTACACAGGTGGGAGGAGAGTCCAAGTGGAGTCTTCTAAGGGGGCTGCCATTTGCACTGCAGTCCCTCCTGTCCGACCAAGGTAGGCAATGTCTCCCAGCTCTCCTAACTCACTCCAGAGGCCCCTGAAATCTGTGTGGGTAAAGGAATGCCACTTCTAAACATGAACCAGCAAGGCTGTTTCTCTTCCCCACCTCCCATAGCTCCCAACTGATGTAAGCAAAGGCCTACATAAACAAAGGGAATGCAATCTTTGTCCTGTGACAACTTTGTACAACAAACACTCATTGAAGAAGCACTCAGGACCAGATGCTACAGAGCTCTTTTGTTCCTGGGCACATAGCACCTGTAGGTTTCTTCCTCTCATTCCTAAGACACCTGAGCAGTAAGTCAGCAGGCGATCCCTGCCTGACTCTGCTAGAATCCGTGGTTGGAGTGTACGCCCTGTGGTGCAATAGTCCAGTTATGTGGAAATGCATGCTTCCTGAAGGATGATAAGATGGAGAGATAGATGCAAAGCTACACCTCCAGAGATTTTCAGGACAAAAACACAGAAAATGAGCACCGTTTTCTCCTCGCCTAGGCCCCAGGCTGTCTGCTTAAAAATGTTCTCTCTTCTCCATCTCATGCCTGAATTCGTTCTGGAATGCCACATTCCAGCCTTTCCGGGATGATGACTTATCACAGTGACACCCATTGTAATGCTTCCTGTGGTGGAATATGGCATCTCTGAGTGAGTCAGACACTTGCTGTGCCAACTGTTGGAGACCAAAGCACACCTCAGGCTTCATCATGGGGACACAGGACCTGGACCATCATTGAAGAATTAAAATGGAGTAGGACTGTAACCATGATGATTCTACTTTCATTGCCTTCTCATTCATACAGTCCTGTCATAGCTATGCTCTCAGTTCAGTCTTATGATAAATATCCCCATGAGGAAAGCAAGGCTGGTCAAGTTCAGAGCGTGGAAATGCCTGCAGACGTGTGCCCGATACAGGGCAAGTGTGACCAGAAGCTGAGCAGTTGGGGTCATACGTTCTTCTGGACTTTTCCCACCATACCATACAGCATCTGTCTGCTCCATGCTCCCCCAGAATACATACGCTGGTTAATCTATCGCATGGATGGACAAACTCACAGTGTCTGTAATGAAAGGTTGAGGTCAAGCTGTGCCATGTAGCAGTCAGTGGCTGTGTTGTATCCTAGCTCTGTCGTCTGTGACACTGACCAAATAATGCTACTTAAACTCCCAGACTCTCATGGGAACAATAATGCCTGATTATGGGAACAATAATGCCTAAATTGTAGATCTGTAGATGAGAATTAAATAAAATAAGGTCTGGGAGACAGTGGTGTGCAGTGGCTGAGAGCTGTAGCTTTGGAGTCAAAAGGCCTGGATTTGAGCCCTAGGTTGGCATCTTGTAGCTCTGTGATTTCATCACCAGCCCGAGTTTCAGTTTCCTCATCTGTGAAGTGGAGATAAAACTCACACCTGCCTTAGAGGGCTGTAAGGGTGAAATATTATAACCTGCAAAATAGCTAATCATGGTACTGGTACAAAATGAGCACTTAATAAATATTTGCTGGATGAGGAGCCGAAATGATTGGAAAGGTGGGGGTACAAAAGACAGTCTGGGGGCTGGGGATTTAGCTCAGCCGCAAAGCGCCTGCCTGGCAAGCGCAAGGTTGTGAGTTTGGTTCTTGGTACCGGAGAAAAGCCAAAAATGAAAAAAAAAAAAAAAAAAAGACAGTCTGTCTGACTCCAGAGCTGGGCGCTGCAATTTTTGTGAAAGCCTGGGTCCCTACCCTGCCAAGAAGCCCTCCCCAAAATACTTAGGGTGAGAAACTTTCTTGAAATAGCTCCATGATTATTCTTGAAGTCCCTTCCAATCCTCAAGCATCCATGCCACTCACTCACACTTTTGAGTGCATTCCAAATACCTTCAGAGAGAAGGAACTGGCTCACAGATTTAGAGAAAACATCCCTAAAATTCATCTGGAACCAGAAGAGGCCTAGAATAGCAAAAGCAATTCTGGAAACAAAGGAAAGGTAGGAAGCATCACAATCCCTGATCTGAAATTGTACTACAAAGCTACTGTGATAAAATCACATGGTAATGGCAAAAAAACAGACCTGAAGATCAGTGGAACAGGTTAGAAGATGCAGACATAGCTACAAACACACTCAGCCACCTTATTTTTTACAAAGGGGCCAAACATGTTCACTAGAAGAAAGACAGCCTCTTTAACAAAAGGTGCTGGAAAAATTGGCTGTCCACATGCTGAAGACTAAAAGTAGACTCATGTCTATCACCATGCACTAAACTAAACTCAAAATGGATCAAAGATCTAAATATCAAAAGAGATACACTAAATCTAATGGAAGAGAAAGTAGGTAAAACTCTCAAAGACATAGGGGTAGGCAGAGAGTTCATGAACAGAAACCAAACTGCATGGGAAACACTTCAAAGAATCAACAACTGGGATCTCATCTTATCAAAATTTTCTGTACATCAAAAGAAATCACCAACAGAGTAAAAATAAAACTCATGAATTGGGAAAAAATTTTATCGAACTGCCCCTCAGACAAAGGACTACCATCTAGAACATATAAAGAATTTTTAAAAATCAGACCCCAAAAATTCAAAGACACAATCCAACAGTGAGTATCTGAGATGAACACATACTTCTCAGAGGAAGAAATACTAATGGTGAATAAATATACAAAAAAATGTTCAACATCATTAGTTTTTAAAGAAAGGCAAATCAAAACAACACTGAGATTTCATCTCACCCCACAGAGAATGGCTATCATTAAGAAATCAAGCAATGACAAATGCTGGAGAGGCTGTGGGAAAAAGGAACACTTCTCCACTGCTGGTGGGAGTGTAGGTTGGTGAAACGACTATGGAAATCAGTCTGGAGATTCCTCACAAAAGTAGGATTAGAAGTCCCACTTAACCCAGCTATTCCCCTTCTGGGTATATTTCCAGAAGAATTTATTTTTTTATTTTTTTATTTTTTTGGTTTTTCTCCGGTACCGGGAACCGAACTCATGACCT